CCTGCTGCTGCCTAACAAAGCAGCCCATAAAACTTTTTTTTTTTTTTTTGCCTCCAGGCTTCCACCTTATAATGCTCGCGGGAACCTCCGCTATTAAAACCGCCAGCTCGAAAGAACCGCTACTGAGGTCGGCCTGATGACGGCTCTCGCTAAGCCAAGCGGGAGAGAAGGAATTTTAGAATTCAATTTGCCAACAAATCTGCTGGCGCTGCAAACGGTACTTATTGAATCGTCGCATTATATCATTTTGATGGGTTTTCCATCAGGGTGTATCAATCGTTTCGATGGCCTTCCAGTTCCTACGATGACGGAGGAGGAATGAACGGAAACGGTCGCTGACCAATGGATACTTTGAATCACGATTAGGAGTTCCGCATCAACATGTTTCTTTGATTTGTTTCTGGTGGAAGATTTGTGGATGCGACTTTGATGTTATACAAGAGAAAAATGGAAATGTGATCCACATATTGTATGTACATCGCACTTCAGGAAATAATTGTTGTTTTCAAGTACAAGACATGAAAACTGTACCCATTGCAACTGAAAAGATAAACTTTGTCACAAGATAAAACACAGTCATTGTTGTCAAGGGGAGCGCTTTAGCCGCCATCTTATCTCAACAGAGTGTGCTGTACATTGTCAGCTGTTACAAACGTGTTGTTATTTTACGCCGAAAGGCAAAAATTGATAAATTGTGGCCGGTCAAAGCAACAACAGTCTCTCAACAAGAACCACGCAAATTGAAATCATGTCCACAAATGTAATCCTCTCCCCTTTCATCAAGTCTTGTGCCATTCGGGGAGGATAAAACCCCATAATGCCGAGCTAATAGGATGTGTATGATACAAATTGCCGTCAAATAACAGTCGCCATACGACCGAGAGATTTGTTTTGGTGGGTTTTTTTTTTGTAGCTGTAATGCGATTTCACTCACACGCAGGCTTAAACGTGAGGTGGTAGGACTGATCCGAGATCAGCCAAAAGAGACATGAACCATGAGGTGGAGGGGTCAAAAGAAAGGAGGAAGTGACTTACCTGGATAGGTTGGATCAGTTATCAGCACATAGGAAAGAAAAGAAGAGAGAATTAGGCCCATTTGATACATTGGAGTATTTGCGTGTACAACATGTTCCCCAGGCTGTAGGCCACATCAGCAGATTTCCGCATCTATCTTTTAATGAGGCCTTGCTGCTTTATACACACACATATCCTCCCCTCGGGGAAAATTATCATCTGATAATCTGGATTGGCCCACTGCATTACAGGAGGATGAGTTTGTCACATAACCACACAGAAAGTGCAGGGGGTAGTACCTTACGAGTTTGCCAAGATACGAGACATCGCTTGCTTGATTTTTTTTTTTTTCAAGGTACATGCAAATTTCATTTCTGTGTCGTGGTGGGGAGTAAAAAGTGAATGTCACGACTGTGAAATAAAAAAAAAAGATGACCCAGTTCATTGAGTGCATGACCGAGGCCATGTAAAAAAAAAAAAAAAAAAAAAATCACTGACGTCGCTCACGGAGTGTTTCATAATTGTGTATCTGTAAATAATTTAATTTAATAATTTTGCCATCAAAAGCCTATTCTGTGTTTTGTATTTTAATGTTTTATAGTTTGAGGTATTAAAAAAAAAAAAGCAAAAGATATTCTCATCAAGTATTTATTGACATGTTTCTTTTTGTGAAAAAGCAAAAACGTTTTCGGTGAAAGAGGAGAGTACTTTTTGTTCTTGGCGGGCTTGGTGCTTATATCGTCAGAACACAACATTCATATTCAGTCAAAATGCTCAATATAGTGGATGGCAAGTTGGAAAACTGTGCTTTGAAAATGGATGCCAGTGAAAGACTTAGCAGTACCCATTAAAAAAAAAAAAAAAAAAAAAAAAAAAAACAATGCGATATAATGCGATATAGGCAAATATTGAGAATTCTGGCTCAGTGTCCTAAAATAACCTTGTCCGTATACAGCCTTAATTCATAAATATCTCATGAAAATGATTTCGTGCGAGAGGCGAGCCAATTCCGCTTCTGACTGCTGCCAAGGTAGGGTTAATATTTAGGTCAATATGCTGCTGCCCTAAATACTTACAGGGACTCAATCGTCACAGGACCGTCTATTTTTTCACCTAGACTTCAAAAACCATGTCTGACTGACTGGAGTTCTTGTTACAAGAATTTAAAATTTCATATAGTGAGTGTTCCAACTGGCTCAAAGAATATAGTGTTTTCCGGATTATAAATCGCTCCAGAGTATAAATCGAATCAGCCATAAAATGCAAAATAAAGAAGAAAAAAATATAAGTCGCATTTTTGGGGGGAAATGTATTTGATAAAATCCAAAACCAAGAACAAACATGTCATCTTGAAAGGCAATTTAAAACAAAAGTAAAATAAAGAACAACAGGCTGAATAAGTGTCCGATATGCTAACGTTACATGACGCATAAACAACAAACGGAGAACATGCTTGGTATGTTCACGTAACATATTATTCGTTATTCAGATAGTCACAGCATCAAGAACATGCTCAAATTACCAAGCCATCAGTGTCACTCCAAATCATTAAATCCTTCCTCTGCTACTTCGCTGACGCCAGACTCATCGTCGATTGATCAACACGGGCCTAGAGCGCCCTCTTGCGGTTTAATATGAAAATAATGTAAAATGATAATGTGTTAATAATTTCACACAGAAGTCGCTCCCGAGTATAAGTCGCACCCCCTGCCAAACTATGACCCCCCCCACCCCCAAAAAACCTGCAACTTATAGTCCGGAAAATACGGTACTTTAAAATATGAAAGATTCAAACTCCAAACCTCAGAGCTATGAGGCGAATATGCTAACCACTAGGTCACCATGCTCCCTGCTGAAATAACTTTTTTCTTTTGGGGTGGGGGGGGGTGGGATAATGCCAGTTTTACTAGTCTTCACCAGCAATTACTTTCGCTTCTCGCAGCTGGTTGGCCTGCAGGCATCCCCTGGAGGCGGGTCAAAAGTTATGGAGCCAGTGAGGAAAACACTTACTCACATACGCATCATTGCCATGGGAACAGATCCAAACAGCCGAGCCTGGAGACGTTGTGTGAAAAATGATGGTTTGCAAGCCACAGCCGCTCATTTTCGGGCTATTTTTATGCACAACGCTGCCCAGAACGTCTTGTCATGGCTTCTGGAGTGCCGTCCAGATGTTATAAATAGCTTGAGCGTTGGTATGTGACGTTTCTTCTGTGTGGCGTTCAGTATATGTGTGTACTATGTGTTGCACGGCGAAAAGGATTTTACACTGACCCGTCGCCGACAGTGTCTGGCCAGGAAAAAAAATGTATAAAAAAGTTCATCGCAAATTCACAGTCCACAAATGGAATCCAGTCAATAAACACTCGTTTCCTTCCAAGAGCTAGCTTGAAGGACCGGTACGTATACGCTAAGTTTTGCACTGAGTCTCAGAGTTGTCCACACAAAACAGACGTGAAGACTTTGAACCAAGTCGGACGCTTCGAAAACTAATCATACCGTGGTCGCCTGCATCAGTGGTCTCAGAACGGGGTAACAAAAGATTGGGACGATGCCCTTAGCGTCAGTATAGAAGAACAAGAGCTATCTATGCCCGTCAACTTGATAATTATCAGCATTTCAAAAGATATCGTTGCAGACGTACAATTGGTTATCGCCGCGAGTGTTACGCTGATGAATACATTTGATCTGATGGCCTAAATTCGCTGACACTAAACTGGATGTGGAGAAGATGGAATGCGACTTGACTCCATTCCACTCCACTCATACCCCAGTGTAACATTCAGAAATGATTTTGTTGACGAGCGCGGCAGCGCGTAACTCGAGCGGACTCGCACACTGCAGCCAAATGTGTCACAATCCCAGCGAGCAGGTGTGACACCGCCTCGTTGGTGTGCGAGAATTTGAATTCATTTCAATATGGGTGACGACTTGTGCCAGCCAATTTGTGTGTCAAATTGGTTGAGGCTGATCTGAGCAAACAGAAGAGCTGCCAGTGACAACAAAACGAGGTCAAAGTTAACCAAGTTATGGTGTGAATTTCTCTTCTTGGGTAGATTGCTACTAAGTGCCACCACGCAGAAATGGATCAATAACTTGCCAGTTTAATCAGAAGACTACTCCTGAGAGAGGTACGGCTTGTACTTTAACATCTGGAAAGAACTAAACACCCACAGAGCCTGGAAGAAGATCACACTATGACATCACCTACGCTGCTTCCGCAGGACGAAGAATCATTGTTTACCTATCGCCTTTGACCCCCTAAACTGTCCCCGGTAACACCTCCCACATGTCAGTGCAACGTTCAGAAATGATTTTGTTGACGAGCGCGGCAGTGCGTAACTCGAGCGGACTCGCACACCGCCGCCAAATGTGTCACAATCCCAGCGAGCAGGTGTGACACCGCCTCGTTGGTGTGCGAGAATTTGAATTCATTTCAATATGGGTGACGACTTGTGCCAGCCAATTTGTGTGTCAAATTGGTTGAGGCTGATCTGAGCAAACAGAAGAGCTGCCAGTGACAACAAAACGAGGTCAAAGTTAACCAAGTTATGGTGTGAATTTCTCTTCTTGGGTAGATTGCTACTAAGTGCCACCACGCAGAAATGGATCAATAACTTGCCAGTTTAATCAGAAGACTACTCCCGAGAGAGGTACGGCTTGTACTTTAACATCTGGAAAGAACTAAACACCCACAGAGCCTGGAAGAAGATCACACTATGACATCACCTACGCTGCTTCCGCAGGACGAAGAATCATTGTTTACCTATCGCCTTTGACCCCCTAAACTGTCCCCGGTAACACCTCCCACATGTTCTCCACGGCAACAAGGAAGTGGAGAACAACAGGCCGGAAAAAGTCTAGTGGCTACTTCACAATCTTCCTGTTAAAAAGCAAGTGTCAACAAAAGTCCGACCGGGTCGTGAAAACCGCCGCGGATGCCGCGTGGTTTCACAGATATTTTTGGAAAGCAATTGAACAACAACCTATCTTGTGTTGAGGCTGGTACACCCAGTCGTCGGTGTCACCGCCGGTGTCCGGGCTAGTGGCGCGGCAGTCGGGGTGAGAATGCTGCTCTTGGGACGAGCGGTGGTCGTGGACCACGTGTAGCTCGTTCTGGCTGTAGAAGATGTGTCGGTTCTGGCGCGAGAGGGTGGAGAGGCTGAACCAGCTGAGAGCACGCGACAGCTTGGCGGGTTTCTCGGGTGGTCGCCGATCCCCTCTCATCCTCACAAGTTCATGAGGGATCGGAGAGTCTTCTCCTTCTTGGGATTGTAATTTCGAATAATAATCCTTTGATGGCGGTTATCGGGTGGACGGACGATGTGAGATTCCAAACGTTTTGGGGAACATCACCCAGATCTGAGCGCGTACTTTGGAACACAAGTATTTTGATTCCATGTTGAGGATATCAATAGTTCCAGCCAAACCAACTTTTATCCGGGCTTCCACATCACGACAGACTAAATCCTCCTGCTGTTTTTCTTCCTTTATGCTTCAAGAGTTCGGACGGGATTCACAAATCGTCGGATAGACACACTTGCATAGGGCAGAAGCACAGAAAGCCTTCCCGTGGAGAAGCCGATTCTGCTTCTTGACGATTAAGAATCAAAACAAGCAGCCTGTTGTTCTTCGGCACCATGTGTGCCCTTAAGTGTGATGGCGCACCAGCTGACACGTACGGTCTCAGCACTGCAACGCGCCAGGAGGCGAAGATGTTGCAGCATCCGCGGTCTATTCTCAGCCCGAAGGTCTAACAGAAGCGACGCTCCCGCCACGTGAGAGAAAAACTTTTCTGAGTCAAAGCATTTTATTTCCTCTGTTGAGATAAAGATCAGCTGTCAATGGTGGACAAAGAGGAGGCAGTTAGGCTGATGATAGGCTGGTTAAAAAAACAAAAGAAAAACCAGAAGAAGAATCCATGCGACTGCACAGGACAGGAGGGTTTTCCTAAATCCGAGGCTTGGTTGAGTGTCTTGTCTTGGAGGAATTGAGGGTTGTGAGGTTAGGGTTAGAATTCCAACCGAGCCTGGTAGCAACCAACAGTGCTGAAACCTGAGTCACTCCGCCCCCTTTGTCCACTCCCTCAAGCTCTTTTCTAGGATCCTTGCACTGCCCCTCCATCCATGTGGAACCACTCCCATCCCGGCTTTTTCAGACCTCCCTTCCACCTTTACTCCTTTGCTGCATATCCTAAGCCATCCTCCTGTACATAAAATATGTTCCGAGTCTTATGCTGACAACCAAAATGTCTTTGGCATACTGTACTGCCTTTACTTTATAAACGTGAGATTCTGAGAGCATTTTGTTTGATCTGCAAGGTGTTCTCAGAGGACAACCAGTGCCCGTGGAGGTTTTAAGAAGCGACTGTTTGAAGTCGCGTCTATTCCAGGACCCTTTCGTGAAGGCATGTTGCTGACATTCCGCCCGAGGTGACAGGAAAGGACTTATTCAAACACTAGACATGACTGGAACATAAACACCACAAACCAGACCGTAGTCAGACCATCATGAACTGGGGTGGAGTGCAATTCTGAAAATTGCAGGGTCTCTCTTGTGCACAAGTGGGGGGGAATTAAGGCAGGCAACAGGTGCTGTCCTGGGACGAAAACAACTTTTTTTTAGAGGGCTCTGTTAGAGCGGTGTTCTTCCCAACCAAGTCTGCGGTTACACATGTGTGGTGTGGGACAATAAACCAGTCCAATGGGTGTGTTTGCGTTTACGCGAATATGAAGAACTATGAAACATGTCAAGAGAAAGCCGCTATCCTGTTAGCGGAGTACCTTCTGATTCGTCAGTAACAGTATCTGGCTGATCTCCGTTACGGTGCTGAAAGTCGATCTGAGGCTTGTGTCGAGGTTGCGGTGTAAAGGGAGACTTAATCCCCCTTCAACCCTGACGTTCGTTTCGGTCCCCAACATTGTCCTGTTAACAAAAGAGGACCCACTGCAGGCGAAATTGTCCAATTGTTGAGAAACTAGATTGAGGACAATGATCAACTTATCACATATACAACAAGGACAACAAGGACGGAAACCGAAACCTGCTGTCGTCCATTGATTTCTCCATTTCAGTAAGAGAAGCCGTTTATCCCCAAGGGACATTAAAAAGTCAAGGGTCGGCATGCAAACTGTCGAGCACGTCGCTCTCACAAAGCCCCATGTTCTCATTTCCCATATCGACAAATTGCAAATCCTGTTACTCTTTGCAGTGTTTGACCGCTATCAGCTTTGCTTTTAGCTAAGCTTCTGGTTAGTTTGACAATATGTTGAGATTGGTCCAAAAAGGCTCGGCACAGGCTCCCAATGTCAGTTTGTGACAAGCGTACTTTAGCTTATCCAAATCAGATGCAATGAGAAGAGAAATAAAAAATATGTGGGTGTTTATCGCGGCGTGACGGGCGAGTGAAAAAAATGTCTTGCCGACGTACAGGAGATGCTTGGCGGCCTGCCTCAACTTGGGTCCTGTTTGCAGAGAAACCCGATCGGGTGACAGCGAACCCCTGTGACCGGAGGAGACGCACGCAACACTGGGTAAATAACGTCGACGAACGCGACTACTTAAGCGCGGACGAAAGACATGTGGCTGAACTTCAGTTGCTCTGTTTTTGTTGTGTTCAGACACAGTCAAGAACAAGTTAGGAAACAAAGGGATCTTTGTGGACTATTTCAAAAGTATCTGCTGTACAAAGACTGTTACCCACAACAGACGCGAAAGACTCTTTTCATGTCAAGCATCAGCCCTGTTTGTTTTCTTGCTCTTTCTTCCGTCCTCAAATCTAGTCATATTTGTGAATTGTGTATATCTGTGAATCTAACCCTTAATTCCTAAATATTATTATACTGTTATTGTTATAAGAAAACAAAGGCAGATTTGGAATCAGTGCAAAAAAAAAATATTCTAGAAAAGTTGCATTTCTGATTTTAAAATATCAGTCAAAACCAGTGTAATTGTTCTGCAACCTGCGTTTGGCTCGGCTATCTGAGCCCCAATACATACCACATCAATAATTAGGCTCGGTACATTTGGTGGCACTTAAGCTGTTACGAAGAAAAAATGGAAAGGTTGGGCGGAGGTGAGCTGATCAATAAGTGCTCTCCATCAGTTGCGGGAATGCCAATGACATCCAGGACGAGAAAAACGACGATGACAATATGAACAGACTGAGAAAGGGATTGTGAGTGTCTGTTGTCATAGCTTTTTTTTTTTTAACTACCTCCCGTAAGTAGTTTCATTTTCACATATATATATATATATATATATATATATATATATAGGTAGGTGCAACATTTGTAGATTGCATGACACCTGAAAAACTCATATAATAATTCACTACTTTGTCAAAACGTTATATTATACTTCTGTGTATTTGCATTCTTTTATTGCAGCTACACATTAAAAATGTCCCCTCAAACAAGTATATCGTGAGATGAATTAAGAAATGTCAATATGATCCCGTATAAAATCCTCTTTGTCATTGACTTATTTATAAATAAAGGCTTATTTATTTTTGTCACAAATATTGTTCATCTCAATAGGATGTAGGTTATGGACCTCAAGAAATGTCAGAATTGTTCATCACAATTTCTCCTGTCTCATTGTGACCACAACCTACCTCCACAAGGAGGCGCCATTTAACAAATTTGCAAATGAGGAAAGGAAAACAAACAAACAAAACAAAACAAAAAAAAAAACTTCTGCAGGAGCTAATGGGCCAGAAAATCCTGATTGTCCACTTTTAAGTGAGAGCCTGACTGTGCTGACGAGATGATGATGATGATGATGATGATGATAATTGTGTTAATGTGTGAGGAGATAAGGCTGCTGTGCCAACACAAATATTGAGGAAGACACACACACAAGCTGTAGGCGGGGTCCACTCTGATGCTTGCACTTACCCACAAGTAAGCGTGTGTGTGTGTGTGTGTGTGTGTGTGTGTGTGTGTGTGTGTGTGTGTGTGTGTGTGTGTGTGCGCGCATGCATCACAGGAATTGACGTCTTCCCCCCCTTGACCCCAAGCAGCAGCTGACTGCAAAGTTTTAAGTGCGACTTCGGGTCAGGATGTTCAGTGTGTTTTTTTTTTTTTGGCATTAGCAGCTTGGACAAAAGGGTGTCGAGTGGCATTCCGGCCGCTTCCCAAAATGAGACAAAGGGGACACACATGTGGGAGGCATGTGCGTACTTTTCCACAACTGTTGAGCGTGGTGGGGAGCTGAGCAAAAAAAAAAAAAAAAAAAAAAACGGCAACTCCGGAGAAAAACAAAAGCGGCGTGAGGAAGGAGCCGCACGATAGCTTTCGAGACAAACGCGCAGAGGCAGTAATCGGAGTAGGGAATTCACACACATGCACTCACGCATCGTGCGTCCAGCGGTTGAAAAGGAGCAGTGGGTGCGGTCGGCTGCACATTCCTGATCGGTCTTGCCTGAGCAGAGACGCTGGTCCGGCAAACCTGAGGCCAGATGTGTTCTGTGCAACTCAATCTTTTGTCTTTGGAAAAGGTGCAACGCAAAAATGTATTTCCCCAGTCAAATGAAGGGAAAGTCCCTCAAAACATTCCTGCCTCCCAGATATTTTCCCCCCAAAAAATATAAAGAGCGAGATAATGTACTTTACAAAAACACACAATAATGACACAATTAAGTAGAAAGTAATGAAATGAAAGACCCCCGCCCCCCACTACACACACATTTTTTGCTCTAATTCAATGAGTATTGTGCTGCTCCTGCTAGTATGAGCGCCTTGGCCACCTGGGGGCAGTACAGTACAAGCATACGCAGTCACGTGTTGCTTCTCAGTAAATTCCAGCACTGTGTGTTCTGCTTAAAGGGAAAAAAAGGAGACAACTGCGATTCGACGAAGTCAAATAGAGTGACAACAAAAACAAGTCGACACAAAATTTGGGGCCCGAAGCTTTGCTTCGCTGGCATTATGTTATTGCATCCACACGGACATTTCCAGCAGACGTGTAATGCTACCAATGTAGTCAACACATCCTCAAAACCATTTAACAGTCTATTTTGCGCCCTCTATTGGTGGAATGTTAGTACTGTGGCCAAGCAATGAAATAAATCAGTCACTTTTCCTTTCAGTGGTCGCACATTTTTATCTGGGTTTGGGACGAGTAGCGACTGGGAATCTATTCTCATCATAAATTGTCATTTTAAAAGTTTCAAGCTGCAATTTCACGAGAATAAAATTTTAAGAGAATAAAGGATTCTTTTTCAAATATTGTGGAATAGCAATTGAGCTTTTTCCGCCCCTCTTCCATTGAATTTGAGTCTTGACAGACATGACTGAAAAGCAGCTGTTAAGGAAGAGGACGCGCCGGTGGGGAATGTGCATGCTTACTCAACACCCAACCCCCCCCCCCACACACACACACACACACACACAAAAAATGTCTAGTTGATTTTACAAGGCTACAAAAAGTCGACAAGTGTCATCCTAAATTCCCAAGTAAATATTGAAAATACAATCGCGATTATTTGACGATTTCATGCTGACATGATTTAGGACAACATTCCCTAGTTTAGTGAACAAACTAGGCACTCATCTCAAGTCATTAATTTCAATTAAGATAATCAGCACTGAACAAAAGGCGCTATTTATGCACGCTGGGACTTTTAGGGCTACATTAGTATTGTAAGGCACAATAATTACGCATGAAAAGGGGAAAATTGCTTGAGTTGTTATTTTGGAAGATGTCATCAGTGTGTTTATATTCCTGAGCAAGAGCAGTAGTATGATAGTAAAACCCCATTTCACCCCGATGTAAAAACAAGTTCATGTTCTGCTTTAAAAGACATTCATGTGATTTATTTTTCTTTGCGAAGTCGAGAGAGGGCCAACAGAATAGGAAAGGCAAAAGACAAGCGGAGCTCATTTGCTAAAAGACGAGCCGGCGGCCGGTTCGGAGCCTGACTGGGCAGACCGTGCTGCTCGCCGCAGGTGGCGCCGTCCACGTCTGACGCAGAGCCAGACTTCACGAATCACGTTTACGACCTTGCGAGAGGTGCGAGCGCCATGTGTACTGTTTACGCATATAAAAACCACTTCACAAGCTTGCGAGAGAGAGAGGGAAAAAAAACACAGAGATGAATGAAAGAACGGTAGCGGCAAGGTAGGTGTGCATGTTCACGGTTGCGGGGAGGGGGGGCCTTGATGTTCTCTTGCACCATCAGAGAAAGTGTGTGAGGCCCAGCGAGGAAAATGGAAAGCGAGATT